GATTACAGGCACACGCCACCATGCCCAGCTGAATTTTTGTATTTTTAGTAGAGACGGGGTTTCACCATGCTGACCAGGATGGTCTCGATCTCTTGCCCTCGTGATCCACCCGCCTCGGCCTCCCAAAGTGCTGGGATTACAGGCTTGAGCCACCGCGCCCGGCAGTGTTATGATTGCTTTTCTTTTCTCTTTTCCTTTTTTTCTTTGAGGCTGAGTCTCGCTCTGTGGCTCAGGCTGGAGTGCAGTGGTACAATCTTGGCTCACTGCAAACTCCTCCTCCCGGGTTCAAATGATTCTCGTGCCTCAGCCTTCTGAGTAGCTGGGATTATGGGCGTGCACCACCATGCCTGGGTAATTTTTGTACTTTTAGTAGAGACAGAGTTTTGTCATGTTGGCCAAGCTGGTCTTAAACTCCTGACCTCAGGTGATCTGCCTGCCTTGGCCTCCTGAAGTACTGGGATTACAGGCATGAGCCACCGCCCAACTCTCTAGCTGGTTTTAATGCCAAGCTGGTAATCCTGGAAGTGAGAGGGGACTGGATTGAAACTGCTGTTCTCAGTCCTGGTTTTCTGCGAACCAGGAGCAAATCAGCAGATGTACTTTTTCCTCTTTGCTCAAGTCTCCCTGCAGCACATCCTGCCCAGCCTTCCCACTCTCCACTCTCAAAGCACCTCCTCCCCTGCCTAACCAGGCAGGCAGATCTTGAGTGTCTCCTTAGAGGAACTAGGTCAAATTAGGCAGTGCCAATTGGAGACACATTGCAGGAGGAGGATGTATAACGAGAGGGAAGTTAGTTACATCAGACAGTTTTGGATCAAAGATCTTGGAAGGAAATTGGCTTTAAAGCAACATAACTGTCGGCTGGGGGCAGTGGCTCACACCTGTAATCTTAGCACTTTGGGAGGCTGAGGTGGGCAGATCATTTGAGGTCAGGAGTTTGAGACCAGCTTGGCCAATATGGTAAAACCCCGTCTCTACTAAAAATATGAAAATTAGCAGGGTGTGGTGGTACGTCCCTGTAGACCCAGCTGCTTGGGAGGCTGAGCCAGGAGAATCATTTGAACTCTGGAGGCAGAGGTTGCAGTGAGCCGAGATTGCGCCATTGTACTCCAGCCTGGGTGACAGAGTGAGACTCTGTCACAAAATAAATAAAGCAACATAACCGCCGGGCGCGGTGGCTCAAGCCTGTAATCCCAGCACTTTGGGAGGCCGAGGCGGGTGGATCACGAGGTCAAGAGATCGAGACCATCCTG